ATTTTTGTATGTTGATCTTACATCCTGCAACTTCACTAAGTTCATCTATTGGTTCTCGGTTTTTTGAGTCATATACCGTTGGCAATTAGAGCCAGGTGATCCAGGGGCCCATCCCTCAGGTGTTGCTGCAAAAGCTGGGGCACCAGGCCTTTGTATAAGCTCCTTCCAGGGAGATGCTGGGGATCTGGTTTTATCACTGGAGTGAGCCCGTGGGAGAAGGTGGGAGAAGTGCCTATCAGTTCCCCTGGGTTCTAGGGAGAATCTCAGCCAGCTCCTAGATATGTGCTAAGTTAGAATCTGGACCCTGTGGCAGGAATTTGTAAAGTATGCACTCAAAACCCTTCCAGGGAAAAATTAGGGGATGGTCATTTTTGCCTGCTGCCTGCATGCTGAGCCCTGGAGGGGATAGAACTGGCAAGTGCTCATGTTCTCACAAAGAACTGCTTCTTTGTTTGCTATGGTCCTGTTGGTCTCTTGGATGCAAGCCCCATTGGCATTCAGAGCTAGATGTTTTGGAGGCCCATCTTTCAGGTGGGAGTCTTAAAATTTGGGGTGCTAGATATGTGGCCCAAACCCTTTACTCCTCAGGGAGAAGCTGGGAATGGGAAGTTCCCTCCCTGTTATAGGGCACTGTATTGGGGGTAGGGTTTATGGCTGGAGTGTGTCTCAGCCTTTCTTTCCTACCTCTTTCAACATGGGTATTATCTCATTTTCCCTAGGTGTAGGGGTTCCTCAGCTAGTTTCTGGATTTTTCTCAGGGAATTTCTCATAATGTAGCTGTACATTTAATGCATCCAATGGGAGGAGAGAAGTTCAGGAGCCTTGTATGTTGCCATCTTGGTCTCTTCCAAGTTTGCTTGCTTTTAATGGGTACTTTGTATTCCATTCTTTGGATGTATCATAATTTATTTGACTCACTCTCAATTGATGAGCACTTGGCAGTATTTTGCTATTACAAATGATGCTGCAAGTCATTTCTCACACTTGAGAATATTTATCTAGGAAGGAATGTTAGAAATGGAATTTGCAGAGTCATTAGTGGTTTTCCTAGATATTCCCAAATTAATTCTACAGAGGTTGTGCTGATTTATACTCCCATTAGCAAAATATGTGTGTGCCAATTTGGTAGGCCCTACTTTGCATAGGTCAGGGAGAGTGTATTAAAGGATGAGAAGAAGCTATCTACATAAAGAAGCAGGGAGGGTGGGGGAATAAAATGTTCCAGGGTGTGGGAGTTGTGTGAGCAAAGGCCAGGAGTTGGATAAGAGTGTAGCATAGTCAGTGTTCTGAAAGATCAGTGTGTCTAAAGCTACTAATTGGTGATATGTGGCTATTGATTACTTGAAATGTGACCAGTCTGCATTGAGATATGCTGTAAATGTAAAATATACACTGGATTTCAAAGACTTAGTATAAAAAAAAACATAAAATACCTCATTAATAATTTTTCATATTGCTTTCATGTTGAAATAACAGTTCTGATGTATTTAAAATATATTATTAAAATTAATTTCATCTGTTTCTTTTTACTTTTTTACTGTGGCTGCTAGAAAATTTTAAATAGCTAAGTGGCCCTTGCATATATTTCTATTGGAGAGTGCTAGTCTAGAACAGGGATTGGTGAACTATGGGCTGCTGGCCACATTTGGCTTGCAGCTTGTTTTTATGTGGCTGGAGCACTAAAAATAGTTTTTATATTTTTAAAGAGTTTTACAAAAGAAAAAGTCTAGGAAGAATATGCAACAGAGACAGTATGTGGCCCACAGAATCTAAAATATTTACTATCTAGCCCCTTACAGAAAAATATTGCCAACCTCTAATTTTGAGTAACTAGCACACAGTCCAGATCATAAAGGGTCTCGTGGACCATAATAAGAAATGTGGATGTTAGGGTGCCTGGGTGGCTCAATCGGTTGAGCGACTGCCTTCGGCTCAGGTCATGATCCTGGAGTCCCGGGATCAAGTCCCGCATCGGGCTCCCCGCTCAGCGGGGAGTCTGCTTCTCCCTCCAACCCTCCCCCCTCTCATGTGCTCTCTCTCTCTCTCTCATTCTCGCTCTCTCAAATAAATAAATAAAAATCTTAAAAAAAAAAAAAGAAATGTGGATTTTATTACCAGAGCAATGGGAAGCTAAAGAAGGGCTTTAAGCAGGAGAGTGATATGAGCAGATTTATGTTTTTAAATAATAACTGTGTGTGTGTGCGCGCGCGCACACACACACACACACACACAATCCTTAAACAGCCCACCCCTGGGACTGATCTGGACTAAAGAGCGTCACATTCTTGCTTTACCAGAAACTGTCACCAATTTGTGTCGAAGGAGTGTGGATGGGGACTTGGCACCAAACACAGAGCTCTGCAGTGTCACATTGTCACATTGTCACGTCTGTGCTCACCATGGGCCCGGCGTTCTCCAAGCCGCAGGCCTTATCTTGGTGACTGTATTTTGTTCCTCCTTCTAAGTGGGTACGGCTCTCTTGGGTAATAGCAAGCGCAGGGAGAACAAGGTGAGCAGAAAGACGCCTGAATGACCCCGTTCCTTACCAGGAGTATAAGCTCAATGCAATTTCAGTCCTTGGTTTCCACTAGGAGTGATGTGCATCCACGTGATTTATTAACTCCATTGGCCTGAGCAGCTCACAGGGAGAAGCATCCTGTCTATCGTACTGTGAATGTTCACAAACCAGCAGGCCTGGGATTGCCTGCTATTCAAACCTCTCCCTGCTATTTCCCTCTTCAGGTACTACCCAGATCTCTTACTAGTACTGGGGTAGTCCGTCTCACCTCTGGGTCCCACAGTATAATGTGCTTCTGATGCTGAAATGAGCCTTTATTGAATTATTATGGAATTATCTTATAGAGAGAGGTGTGGTATTGTACACAGTTCTAGTGGGCTGGACAGGTTACTGCTGTAATAAACAAGTCCAAAAATCATTAGTGACTAGACACAGTGGATTATGTATTACTCCCCACACAGCCCACTCTAGATTGGAAGGCTCCTGGGAGGTGAGTAGTGGGAGGGACCACCCTCTCTGCATCATTCAAGACCTCAGGCTCCCGCCATCTGCTGGCTCCACCCTCCTCCAGAGCCACTCAGTTGGCAAATGGAGAATGAGAAAGTCGGGAAGGCACAAATGCTCTCAACCACCTTGGCCCAGGAGTCACACCTGTCACTTTGGTCATATTTTACTGGCAAATCTTACTCACTGGATCCCACCTGGAAGAAGATGAGCTAGGGAATATGGTCTTTCTGTGTGCCCGAGAAAGGGAGGACATGGAAATGACTTCCCTGAACTCAGCACCACAACCTCATATGGTCCCTGGGCAGCCCTTCCTTCAAGATAACTCACAAGTGAGGCGGTTTCTTCCAAATGTCTACACACTGTATTATGCTTCTGACATAAGAGGTTTAGGTTTACCTTCTGTTCTTTAGACAGCACTTCGTTTTGCATTGACATTACTGGTGTTATAATGGTTTTGTCCTTTTAATTCTGTTTCTCATATGAGTCTATTTTCCCTCAGATCATTAGGCCTCCTTACTCCCAAGGTATTACTTGAGTTTGTATGTATGAATACATTTTTATTTTTTTATTTTTAAAGATTTTATTTATTTGAGACAGAGAGCACAAGCAGGGGGAGCGGCAGAGGGATAGGGAGAAGCAGACTCCCCGCTGAGCAGGGAGCCCGATGCGGGGCTTGATCCCAGGACCCCGGGATCACGACCCAAGCCAAGGGCAGACACTTAACTGAGCCACCCAGCTGCCCCTGTATGGATACATTTTTTTAAAAGATTTTATTTGTTTATTTTATTTGAGAGAGAGAGCACAGGCGTGAGTGGGGGGAGGGGCAGAGGGAGAGGGAGAGAGAATCTCAGGCAGACATCGTGTTGAGCACGGAGCCCGACACTGGGTTTGATCCCACAACCCCGAGACCATGACCTGAGCTGAAACCAAGAGTCAGATGCTAAACCAACTGAGCCACTCAGGTGCCCCCATATGGATACATTTTTTAAAAGTTTTATTTAAGTAATCTGAGCACCCAATGTGGGGCTCCAAGTCAGGACCCCGAGATCAAGAGTCACAGGCTTTTCCAACTGAGCCAGCCAGGCGCCCCAAAGCTATGGAGAAATGATGGGACTTTCCACCCACTGAGTGGCCGAGTTGGGAGTCACATGTGTGCCTGACCTCTAGCCTGCACTCTGAGCCATCACGTCATGCGACATCCTTTCTGGACCAGGCTGGGGGTAACTGTCTCTTTCATCTTCATTTCTGTCTATCCCTCCCTCCTTCATTGCAAAGCTGCTCATGGACCTTTCTTCAGATATTTCCTCCCCTCCCACGGCTGGGGCTCTGGAGTTCGCTTGCATATGGGAGATACTGATTCCTGTGGTAGTGCTATAAAAAATAAAATGGGAGAACAATCAGGATTAAACTAAGATGCAGTTTTAAGTATAGTTGCATGAGATTAGAGAAATAAGAATGGAAGATCTTGACAAAGACATCTCAGAGAATCCTAAAGAGTCCTTTTCTTGTTTGGGATGTGCAGAAAAGACAGTTTTCAGAAACTGCTATGCGTAGTCAGTCAATACACACTTACTTTGGAATTTACTTTAAATGTGTATTTGCTTTGTGTCAAGTCTTGCTTTTTCATCTGTTTTAAGAACACAGGTCTATGTAGCTGCTGCATTGAAATAAGGATCTTACTAGCCAACCTGATGACTTTCTGGCACATTGTAAACCCAACTAACCATCTGAGGGTGTAGCAACTTGCTTGGGTACACCAGAATTTCCTTACTCATAGAAATAATGAAAGAATCCCAGAGATCATTAACCCACACAACTGAAGAATAGTGTACTGGAGAAAGTACTTGGAAGTCTCTAGTAGCTACAACTTAGAATTTCTGGGTTGATATGTGCTGCATTCTGTCTCTGGGTTGTTTTTTTGTTTGTTTGTTTGTTCTTTAAGGCCTCTTACCATTCTGTACTTGTCTCTCTCTAGGTTTGACTTGTGCAGATTCGGGCCTGTGTTCCAGGATGGTTTGTTCTTGGGACCAGACCTGACCAGAAGTTGACCTCATGAGCACATCAGCCCCTCCCGCTGCCATGCTCCTCCGGAGGCTGAGGCGGCTCTCCTGGGGCAGCACCGCTGTCCAGCTCTTGATCTTAACGGTGGTGACTTTCGGCTTGCTGGCCCCCCTAGCCTGTCACCGGCTCCTGCACTCTTATTTCTATCTGCGCCATTGGCACCTGAACCAAATGAGTCAAGAGTTCCTGCAGCAAAGTTTGAAAGAGGGCGAAGCTGCCCTCCACTACTTTGAGGAGCTGCCGTCTGCCAATGGCTCGGTGCCCATCGTCTGGCAGGCCACCCCCCGCCCCTGGCTGGTCATCACCATCATCACTGTCGACAGGCAGCCTGGCTTCCACTATGTCTTGCAGGTGGTGTCCCAGTTTCACCGGCTTCTGCAACAATGCGGCCCCCAGTGCGAGGGGCACCAGCTCTTCCTATGCAATGTGGAACGTAGCGTGAGCCACTTCGATGCCAAGCTGCTGTCGAAGTATGTCCCGGTGGCCAACCGCTATGAGGGCACTGAGGATGATTATGGTGATGACCCTTCGACCAACTCGTTTGAGAAAGAGAAGCAGGACTATGTCTATTGCCTGGAGTCCTCCTTGCAGACCTACAACCCAGACTATGTCCTGATGGTAGAAGATGACGCCGTCCCGGAAGAGCAGATCTTCCCAGTTTTGGAGCACCTTTTGCGGGCTCGCTTCTCCGAGCCGCACCTCAGAGATGCCCTTTATCTGAAGCTCTATCATCCTGAGAGGCTCCAGCACTACATCAACCCAGAGCCCATGCGGATCCTGGAGTGGGTCGGCGTGGGCATGTTGCTGGGGCCCTTGCTAACCTGGATATACATGCGGTTTGCCAGCCGTCCAGGGTTCAGCTGGCCCGTCATGCTCTTCTTCTCCCTGTATAGCATGGGTCTGGTGGAACTGGTGGGCCGGCACTATTTCCTGGAACTGCGGCGGCTGAGTCCTTCCCTGTACAGTGTGGTCCCTGCCTCTCAGTGTTGCACCCCCGCCATGCTCTTCCCTGCCCCTGCGGCCCGCCGGACCCTCACCTACCTGTCTCAGGTGTACTGCCACAAGGGCTTCGGCAAGGACATGGCACTCTACTCACTGTTGAGGGCCAAGGGGGAGCGGGCCTATGTGGTGGAGCCCAACCTTGTGAAGCACATCGGGCTCTTCTCCAGCCTCCGGTACAACTTTCATCCCAGTCTGCTCTAGCGTGCCAAGAAATGCCTTTCGGAACTTGGCCGCTTCTCGGTGATTCCGATACCGAGTTCTTTATTTCGACATGGTTGCTTGCAGTTATTTCATTGTTTCATGTTGTTAGGGATCTAGGCACTGAGACAGCTGAGAACGTACACGTCAAGAACCTTGGCTTTGGTAACTCTGGCAGGAGTGGATGTTCGCCCCGAGGCGGGACCCCTCTCCCTCCACACAGCCACACTGCCTCATGCAGTCTGACCCGCCTGCCCAGGGGGCATTTAAATACCAGTTGTATTCTGCATTCGTCGTCAGCTCTGCTTTGTGATTGAGCTCGTGACTGCCAAAAATATTGTGCACAAATAATGACCGTTTTAGGACTTTAAGGGTAGAATTTGGTGAAAGGTGAGATCCTTTTGAAGGGATTTCTTTCTCACTGGGCATGAGAATGGTTGTATGTCTAGAACATATGTCCAAAGAGGCAGGACCATATTGACAGGTTCCATTTGTTTCTTTGACCTGGTATGGTAAAAGCCGGTAAAAGCTGTTGGCAGTGCCTGACGACTTGGTGGCAGGTGATCTCGCTTCTGTTACATGGCGTTTCTTTCCCATGCATCTGTAGTGTACTGATGGTCAATATTGTTAGTGAGAACTTTAAGGCACAGCAAGATCTGGAAGCGCCTTCTGGATCATCAAGGTCAGACTGCTTATGTTTAGTAGTGATTTCATATTGAATGTTTCTATCATATTCTGATTCTTTGAAAATTGGACATTGAAGAATGATGTAAACTGGGTGAGCTCTTTACTAATAGCATATCCTTTTCCCTAACTTTGCTGGCTAACCATTCAACCTCATTTTTTTTTTCCTTCTGGGTATCAGGGTGTTAGAGTAGCAAAAGCGTAGACTGTGAAGTCGGAAGGGCCTGAGTTTTTATTTCAGATCTCTGCCATGTCCTACCGATGTGCACGTGGGCAAGTCATGACCACTCTGAGTCTCTGTTTCTTCACCTGTAAATGGGGATGGCCATACCTACCTTTGAAAGTTGCCTTGAGGATTAAGTGACAGAACGTATGTAAAACACCCAGCAAGTGCTTACTTAGCCCATGGAAGGCACTTGGCAAATACTAGTTCTTTTCTCTTCTGTAATGAGTATATAACCCCCAAGTGTATTTTGGATAAAGATATTAGTGATACTGCTTCAAGTGTGCGGTAGGGCATAGGGCTCCCGCCCGGGGAGTAGCCATTCTGGACCAAACTCCTAGAATAAAGGCCGACTTGTCGTTGTGATTTGTGAAGGAGATGTAGCTCAGCTTTCACCTGGCGCTGCCTCCAACCAAGACAAAAATAATGGTTTGTTCAAACTGGAAATGATCTGAGACTGCTCTCGAACTTATTCCAAGACCTGCATCTGAAAACTACTCTCCTCCGAAGTTACACTTAAATGTCCCCTGACGATACTTATCAAGCCAGAGGCCAATAAGTCCCCTCGTGAAGATGGATGTTGACATCGGAGTTCAAGCGTTGACGGGTCGTTTCAGTGCCACGTCTTCATCTGTTTTTGAAATTTCCAGTGAGCTTCCATCCAGAGATACCCTTGAGACCACTGAGACAGGACGTGGGAGTTCCACACCATGCTTTGCAGATGGACAAACTGAGGCCAAGGGAGGTGAAACCGCTTCCCCAGGGTCGCTCAGCTGGACAGCAGTGGACTTCCAGCTCCAGCACTTTTCTCTTAAGCACGTTCATTTTCTAAATATCCGTGCTGTGAGCATCTCTTTTGTAGAACCTGATTGTAACCTGGGCGGAACAATGTCTCTGTAAGCTCCCATGGTAGAACCTCATTGTCCTGTAGGTTTTGGGGAACCAGCAGGTCTATGTGTGTGAGACGTCATGTGTCACTCAGGAATGTCCAAAGTGAGCGGAGCTTCTGGATGACTTGTCAGGATGTTCAGATTCCACTGCTTCATTCATCCTCTCCCCATCACTGGCTCATCCCATGTTCAGTACCCCCAGCCTGCAACTCTAAATTAGAGTCTGTTGCATTAACGATCGGATCTCCTCAGGAATGTTTTTTTGCCCAGCAACAGGAGAGTTACATCTAAGCTAGCTAAGCAGAAGATAGGATATCATTGCTGGTTTATATTTCTGCTCTTTCAGATTCAGTTGTCTACCGCATGCAGATATCTCCTCCCTTGACTCCTTCATTCTGGATGGCTAAAGCCATCTTTGCCTTGTCTAATTTCCTACCTATCCACTAAGATGCCTTCCCCCATCGATCTTAACTAGAGCCTACTGTCTTTGGACATTTTCTGCAGAGGCAGGCTCAGTTCTGCTGTCTTATCCTCACCCTCTTCTAGATCTCCCTCCCTTTTCTCCCTCATTCCTAGAGTCCAGTTTTTGTATACTGTCCTTGGTTAGGACAGCTGACAGCTTTACACCAAAGCTGAAGTCTCGTTTAATCCCTAAGCAAGGGGGCTAGAGGAGAACTAAAGGACATAGGTCACCAGGAGGGTGAAGGTCTCCAACAGAACCTGCTCACCCTTCAGGGTTTAAATAATTGTCAGGCCTAAGAAGTTCCCTATTGTGACTGGGTATATTTGCATAGACGTATCAGTTCAAATTAAAACACCTGTTCCACCGAGGCATCCTGAGAAGACTTTTGTCATTCTCTCTCATTTCTTTTTTTTTTTTAAAGATTTTATTTATTTATTTGACAGAGGGAGACACAGCGAGAGAGGGAACACAAGCAGGGGGAGTGGGAGAGGGAGAAGCAGGCTTCCCACAGAGCAGGGAGCCCAATGCGGGGCTCGATCCCAGGACCCTGGGATCATGACCTGAGCTGAAAGCAGATGCTTAACGACTGAGCCACCCAGATGCCCCTCTATCAAATTTCTTTGGATGGATTTTTCTAATGTGAATAGTATCAAAACTACACACACACACACACACACACACCGCATTTTGGAGTCCCAAGGTAGCCATTCACAATTATGGGCTGTTGACTTAAAAATTCATAACTGATTTAGTTGTATTTCTTAAGTGGAAACATTTGAATTGTGCATTCCTTTTTATTGTTGTTTAAAGAAAAAAGGGTTGAGAATGCAACCGTGCAACTGGAGAACACAAATCGGATTAATATGATGATAGGATTAATCCAATTTACCTTGGATACACTCCTTATTTGGTAGAACTTATTTAATTGGTAACTTAAATTTGGGTAGAGGGGCATTCTAATTGGAGTTAATTGCTGTGGGATTTTTATATACACTATGAAACATTGTGAGTTACAGTAGTACACAATATGAAGTTGGCTAATTTTAAGTCACATGAACCACTTGGATATTTTTATCCCAACTACAGTGAATTTGCTGAGAAATGCTCATTAACTGGCACGGGTTTTGTTTTTGTTTTTAGGTTGGATTTTATTTGGAAAACCTTTGGGGGCTATGTCAAAGATGATTGATAATGTAATTAAAAAGTACTTAATGTATTAGAACTGCAGTGGAAATGTGCTGTGGCTTCCAGCTCACTCCAGGACTTGTGTTGTAGCATTCTCGTGAGTCATCACTCTTAAGAATGGGGATTTTTGGCTTAGAACTTAACAGATTTTCTTGATTATTTTCCCTCATGTCCTACACAGAAATGTGGGTGAATGAACTGATTCAAAAGAGGCAGCTCTACTAATAATCTGGGGTAAAAGCAGATGAAAATCCAAAGCCAAATGATGAATTTATTCAAAAGAAACACGGAACAGATGGTGTAAGTATGTAGGAATGGGGTAGCTTTAAGATGTCCGAGAGATGGAGGAGGAAGACAGAGATGTAGAGTGAAGCAGAGGATCTCGCATTTGTCACCTGTTTCTGTGTGTCCCAAACTCCGTATGTAATAAATTCTTTTTTTTTTTTTAAGATTTTATTTTTAAGTACTCTCTACACCCAACATGGGGCTCAAACTCACAACCTCAAGATCAAGAGTCGTATGGTCCACTGAGCCGGCCAGGCGTCCCTGTAATAAATTCTTCCTGTGTGTCCCACTGTCCTGAAATCTTTATAGGACCAGCCTATGGAGAATGCATAGGAACTAAATAATGAATAGTCAGTGTTCTAGATAAATAGTTCATTACTTTGCTAGGACCTGGCTTCCTACTGCATTTAGAATAAAATTCAGCCCCCCTACATTCCCTTCCAGGCCAGGTGGAATCTTGCCCCTGCAAATTAATAAGACTTCATGTCTTATTACCACTCCCATCCGTGTTCTCCAGGCTCTAACCACGCCAGCTCGCGTTCCCTTGCTTAGACTTGCTGCACTGATTCTTACCGCAAGGCCTTTGCGTGGCCATCCTCTCTATCTGGAACAGTTCTCCTTTGGCTGAATCTTTCCTATAATTTAGGCCTCAACTTAATTTTAATCCTTCCCAATAGATTTCCCATCCTCTCTAAAGCAGTCGTCGTCCCCCTTGCTGACCCCGAGGCCCATCTATCACTTACCCAGTTTGATTCTCTTCAAAGCTCTTGTCATGACCTGAAATTCCCTTATTATCTTGGGATATTTCCCCCTCCTTCTCCCCCCACAGGATATAAACTTCCCAATATCTGGACTCTTCTTTTTCATTTATGCTGTATGCCCTGGAACAATACCTGACACATAGTAGGAAATGAATGAATGAAAGAGGAAGGAAGGAGGGAAAGAAAAGCAAGCAGGAAGGAAGGGAAGAAAAGAAAAAGGGGTTTAGAAAGGGTATAGGGGTCCACAGTGGAACTGCCTATGGAAAAGAGAAATACTAATAGAAGAGAAAAGGGACTAGGGAGGAAAATTTAGGACAGACAGAGAAGGATCCAGGTAGTGAGGGCTGGTTATGATGTACAATTCTGACTCCACTGAAAAGCTTTTTACATGCATTCCAGGCAGAGGGAATGACAAGCACGAAAAGGAACTTTTGACACCAACCACACAGATGCTTTTTTGGGTTTTATGGTTTTATTTCTAGTGTGTGCATTGGGAGTTGTGGGGTGGGGGCAGGGGAGGGTCCTGTGTGTTACTGTCAGGTGAAGGCTGGGATTTTCCCTTCGGGCTGCAATCTTCCTGGTGCTGCCAGTGGGAATCATCTAGATATGAACACCACGCATGGTGGGTCCACGGCCTCTTCTGGGACTTTTAGGCCAAGAGGCTGGAGAGAGAGACAGAACAATCCCCACACTGTACCGGTGAACTCACGTTATAGGGCCGAGTGGCTCTGGGTGGTAGGAGCGGTCTTTGGCAAAACATTATATGATTTAACACAAACCAAGGATAGAGACGTGAACCTTCCCAGAGACGAGACGTGAGGAACAGGCCACTCTTAGAGGATCATTTTTCTGATACATGACTTTTGGGTTATTTTATGTTCTGTTAGCATGGCTTTATTTTTTTTTTAAGATTTTATTTATTTATTTGACAGAGACACAGCGAGAGAGGGAACACAAGCAGGGGGGGTGGGAGAAGGAGGAGCAGGCTTCCCGCCGAGCAGGGAGCCCGATGCGGGGCTCGATCCCAGCACCTAAGGATTATGACCTGAGCCGAAGGCAGACG